ATGCTTAATCTGATGTTCTAGGCCTGTATTTTTTATATACATAATACATTATGTATGTAATATATAGTATATATACCAATATATACTAAATAAAAAAAGGACTCAGTGCAAATGAATTTAATATATTATAGCAGATGGAAGTGGGACTTCTTTGGTTGAAAGAAGCCTGCTTGCCTGACTTTCCCCCAGTGACAGCCCTTCCTCTCTGAACAGGGACCATAAAGGCAGTGGTCTTGCCGCGCGCCCCGTCTTCGCCGGCAAGAACAGCACGCAACAACAGCAGGATTCTTCTGCAGAAAGCTTTATTCTTCAGCTCTTTGTGAAACAAATGCGTTGGGCAGGACCCAGAGGGGAAGGAGAGGCTTGCTTATATAGTTCTCATGCTCTGACCTGGTTGGTGCGGCTCCATACGCTTCATTAGCATAACAATTTGGTGGGTCTCATTGGTCCTTATGCTAAGGCGCAATTAGCATGATGGTTTAGTGGCGTGGGATGTTTTGTCACTAGGAAGTTTGGGGCTTTCCGGCTGCCCTGCATTGGGCGCCATTTTCTGAGCGCGGCTGCCAACATGGTCTGAAAATCATTGCTTTATAATCCCCATTCTCATAATAATAAGCATTTGTCACATTGTTATGATCATCAAAGCAAAATCATTTGAATTGGTTTAGAAAACTGTGCCTACCTTTATCTTCTTGATAAGCTTGTAGGTAGCGTCATTAAAGCTTTATATCTGCAGGCTCTACCCTTCCTACTTTGAGGACCAAGACTCATCAAGGAGATTAGCTTCATTCAGGTGCTGGCTGGCATGGCCTAGTATTAATCTTGTTGCTAGAGATGAAGGCCTGACATGCTTGGCTGTGTGGCTTTGGAGGCTATACACCGTATAAACTTTATTTGTTTAGATTCTTCTCTCTTTCCTCCAATGTCTCTCCCCAGTTTATCTCCACGGGAGCTAGGTGTCTGCCTCAGTTTACTCACTAGTACATTATTTATTGCTGCCAGGCATGAGCCCTGTTTGACTCCAGTCTACCCAGTTGGAGACTTAATATCCTGTAGCTCTGGCCAGGTGACATCTCTGTGGAAGCAGTTCTCAGCAGTGTGGCCCCGCCAGTGGCTATAATTCTTTAAAAAAAAACAACAAATTCTTGCTGCAAATAGCAATGCTGTCATGCTTACCACCAGTTTGACTTGGGGTTTCACCTGACACTGGGATTCATGGGGAAGGGTCAGTCTTCCCACTGGGTCAGTTTTTCTGGTCCCCTACCCTGTTCCCTTCAGGCCTCCTTTGTCTATCTTCACTAGACCACACTGCTACAGTTTTAGCATGTTGAAAACCTGAGCCTCAGAGGTTAAAACTGAAACTGAACATTATATAGCTTAGCAGTTCTCAAAGTCTAGTCCCCCCCTGTGGGTCCTTGAGACCCTGTCGGAGTCTGTGAGGGAAAACCTTTCATAATTATACTGACTTTATTTGCCTGTTTGCACTGATGTCACTAAAGCGATGGCAGGTAAAAGGGCTGGTATCTCAGAGCAGATGAGTGGCCCCAAACCATGCCAGTATGTGTTTGTCCTCACCATGCGTGTGCTGTGAAAAAAGAATAAGAAAAAGACTTGCTAAAAGCCAATTCCACCCAACAGTCACCTTGGTGAATTACGAGTTCTATTAACCTCAACCCTTGAGTCTTTGCAATATTCCGTATAATAGAAGGGGAAGTGTGCCCAAAGTACTTCTCCTGCACTCTGAAATATGATGGTTATTTCTGGGAAAACACAAATGTGCAGTTTAAGTTGTGAGGGGACCTAGTGGCTTTGCTCATGGAACACCAGCTTTATTTGCAAGGATGACTGACATAAAAACGGTGGTTGTTTTGACTTGGGTATTTGACAGACATCTTAAAAAATAGGCAAAGTAAGCCTGGTACTTCAAGGGAAACAACTGGCAGCATGTGTTATCTGTGATGAAATTAGAGCATTTAAGCAAAAATGCGAATATTGGAAAACTAATTTTTTAAAATTTCTTCACAGTGCCAGAAGAGGGAGCTCTCTCTATGTAGGGAAAACTTCCGGGGCTCCATACCTGTTGCTCACTAACTTGACATTGACATGTATTGACTGACTGATTAGCTTCCAATTGATATGGTCATTCTCTGTTACTCCAAGAACAGGATTGAAGGCTGGGAGTTCCTGGGCTGAAATCCCTACGCAAAGCTGAGTCAGTGTGGGGCCTGAGGCCAGCAACTCAGCATATTAGTTTCACTGTTTTTAAGGTGATGAAGAGATATTAAACCTTCCTGCCACCTGAGGGCTGTTATTATACAGGACGATTACTTGGTATTCCAGTTGAACTTTGAAATCAACTCACGGGCAGAGATGGAAAAGCCACAGGCCCAAACGAGATCCAACTCTTGAAGGGTTGGTTTCTTGAGGCACAAGGAAGTCCAGGAGGGATGTTTTAGAGCTTTCAGTATCGGGGTGGAGGAATTTGGTGGTCGGTGCTGTACGTATCAAAAGGGACCATGAGCTCTGGTGGCCAGCTCGAAGAGTGATGGGGAACAACACTTTAAATGCATCATCATGGTAAAGGAGTTTTATTCCTGTAACTTCCAGATGGAAACCAGTAGGTTCCTCTCTCAGCCTCTGCAAAGACAAGTCCATGCCTTGAGATGCTTCTCTAGAAGACTGAAGCTGGTCTCGGAATGCACAGCCAGTGTGCAGGGGCCTCTGAAGTTCCCGTGAGAAAAGGGGTTCTGGACTGGCATGCTTACTGAAATAAGATTCTGCTAGTGCATTTCTCTATTAATGGTTATCTGAGGTTATTAACATTTGGCTTTTCAATTTTTTCAGTTTGGTTTATTTAAACAAGAAAGTTGGATTTTATCTCTGTAGTTTTCTAGACTTGGCATTTAGAGAATTATCTCAGTGGAAGATGGCTGTAATCTGTGGGCTGTAACAGAGTCCCAGCAACTGAGAATGGAATTAGATGAGGAGAAACCACATATGCACTGAGAGGCGGCAGGCAGTCGTGTGGAAGGGGGAGAAAAATCACAAGTTTTAGATCTTTTTTTCTACTTCTGGTTACCAGAAAGTTGCAAGTATGGTCTGGGGGAGGACACACAAGCGGACTAAAACAGTGGCTTTATTTTCTCCTCCTCTGTGTCCGTCTGGCTGACTTCTATAGCTGGTTGAAATCTGGAAGAAGGGGATAATACAGGAAATTAACTCTCTGTTAAGGGGACAGTTGAGAGTTGTTTGAGATGGAGAAATAGCTTGTGTGGTTTGGTTTTGTTTAATCAAATTAAATGTTATTCTATGAATAGATTAATTGAAATGAAACTAAAAACAGGAATAGAAAATTCAGTAAGTCTTATGATCAATGGAGAGTATATACTGTTTGATAAACTTGATGGAATGAAATTGTGTGTATTTATTTTAGTAAGTAGTGAGCAATGCTTAACTCTTTAGATGTTAAGCCCTGTGTATTTGTTTGGGTTCTCCAGAGAAACAGAATCAACAGGATAAATTATAGAAATATTGTATCTATGTGTCTGTATTGAGATAGGATGAGCAGGAGACTGGGAGGAATTTCCTCACATAGCAAAGGAGACTGAGGACTCCTAGGATCTGCAGGTGGCGGGCGGGAGAGCGGGTGGGGTTCCAGTCTGAGCCTGAAGGTCTGAGAAAGCAGGTCAGGCAGAGGAGATAGATAGACAGATAGATAGACAGATAGATAGACAGACAGACAGATAGATAGATAGATAGATAGATAGATAGATAGATAGATAGATAGATAGATGATAGATACATAGATAGATAGTTAGATAGATAGGTAGAAGATAGATGATAGATATAGATACATACATACATAGATGCATAGATAGATAGGTATTTCTCCCTTACTTAGCCCTTTTATTCTATTGAGGCCTCCAAGGGACTGGATGAGGCCCATGGTGCAGAGGACAATCTGCTTTACTCAGTCCACCAATTCAAATGTTAATCTCATCCAGAAACACACTCAGAGACACATTAGAATAATGTTTAACCAAATATCCATGTTTAACCAATACCTGCTGGCCCAGTCGAGTGACAAATTAACCATCACAAAAAAAGTCAGCCTAACACTGGATCCCGCAGGTCAGAATAGCATTATTTACAGTACTGCAGGTGCCAGAAATGCAGGAGAATGGATTGATTTGATAAGTGTACCTGAGGAATTCAGTCACTCTGAGTTCCCTAGGTTATCACAAGGATACTTTAAGAGCCTAATAAGAGCCCACAACCTTTTATACAAGACATGCAGGCGACATGCAGGCCTTTCACGAAGGCAGCACATATATGCACACCAGTATTTCCTATATTAATGAAATATTTATGGTGATAACTTAGAAGAACAGACAAGAGTCAGTATAGAGTCAATTGAATTCTTCACATTCAGAGGATGGACAACTGACTCATGTAAGGTCCAAGAACCCCACACTACAATAAAATTTCTAGGTATAATTTGGTTCTCTGAAGGCAAAAAATTCCAGACCTGGTTATCAATAAGGTAGGTTGCATACTAGCTCCTGCCAGCAAAGAAGCGGCTCAGAAACTGATAGGACTGTCTGGGTACTGGAAACAGAACAGACCACACGTGGGGATATTATTAAAACACATTTATGAAATAACTAGGAAGAGTACATAATTTAGAATGACAGAGACTCAAGAGGCAGCTTTATTTATTTGAAAAATGCTGTCAGAACTTTTAGTACATTGGTACCAGCTAATGAGGACTCTAAACATAGACTTTCTATACTCACAAAGGTTTGCAGCCTGGTCACTGAGGACTAAAACACTGCAGGACCCCAAATCTTAGCCAACTGGTTTTATAGACTAAGTACTTCCCATGGCCCAAGATCAGATACATTAACCAACCCAAAGGCTTGCCTGGGAACTCTGTCCGAGGCCCTGTGTTACTCAGAGCCACTAACTGAAAATAACCGTTTTTACTTAAACTCCAACAGCATATTCTGGAGTGGGTAAGGCAGACCCCTGATAAACACAAACACCGGGGGACCTCTCCTGACCATAAAGTCTGCCATGGAAGTAGTGTTTTTCCAAGTAGACATACAGCTGGATGGCTGGCGCTCTGCATTCACTGAGGAAATCCAAGCAGTGCCCAAAGCAGACCTGTCAGGATTCTGAGGGGTTGGGCAACGGGGACTGCCCTCGCCCACGACATGCAACAGAACAGATGGATCAGCCTCCGTGGCACAAAGGTACGTGGGAAGGCTGTGGCCTTGAGGGCTAACGATGGTCTGACTGACAGAATCGTTCAGGAATCAGCGCCATGGCTGAACAACCATAAAATGGGTGATTGAACAATGTTAAGGGAAATCAGAATGAGGAATATCTTTTCTCAGACTAATAGCAGTAGCTAATGGAGTAGCTCTTTGATCAGGTAAGTGGTGGGAAAATGACTGGAAAATAGGAAATAAGAGCATATGGGGTGAGGTCATAGTAGAAAATAGTTCAGGCTGACATTTCCATACTCATCACACATGCCTGTGCACATGAGGGGGACAGCTCTGATGTAAACAAATTAAATAACCAGGGAGACAAACTCACTAGGAAAACTAAAGAGGCAAAGAGTCCTAAAATTTATCTTAACGCGATGATTCATGGCTAAGGAGGAAACCTCTTCAAAACGGAGCCATACATAAACAAGAAGGACAGTGGAACACAGAAAGCCTGAACACGTGATACACCAATTGATAGAATCATTGCGTGGGCCTGTCGCCAAAACGTGTGCTGGTACGCACAGCGCTAGAACCAGGTTGGAGAAAAGAGAATGTATATACCTACCAATACCCCCATTTCAAATTAGGCAATGTAAGAATTGCCAAAAGTTTAAAGCTTGGAGGTCACTGATGAATACTCCAGATAAGGTTAAAGCTGACAGACGCTTCCAAATTGTACCAACTGACCACAAAGAGTCCTGGCCCATATCAGAGAATAAACTATAGGCACGCGCCATTGTAGACCCATGTCGGGAATAGGATTACCCTATCCTTGCAGAAAAAATGATCACAAATCAATCTACCATCAGAGCAGTAGAAATATGGATCGCTTGCTATGGTATCCCAAACATCAGAAAAACAGAGCAGGCTCCCCACTTCTCAGGGAACGCAGTGCAAGAACGGGCTGAGGCGTAATGTGGAGTGCCCACTTACCCTACACCCAGCCACCTCTGGATGAACTGGAAGGTGTTAACAGCCTGCCCAAGGAAAAGCATGGTGGCTTACTTACTATCTAGATATGAAAGCTGGGATTGAAATGATGTGGGAGGTGGTATGAGCGCTGAACTGTAGCCTTAGGAAGGATGGGAAGACTCCCGCTGAATTACTAATGCAGGCACCCACAGAGGTAAGAAATAGCACTAGTGACATCCCAGGATCTAAATGAGAAGGGAGAGGATTAATTAAAAAACCATAATGATGTATATACTACTGGGGAAATCATCGCGACCTGCCAGTAATAAAACCAACTGGGTGACTGCAGGCAAAGGTCTGTCACATCACATTAAAGAACACAATGTGATACCTCTATACAAATCTCAGGCATGAAGAATACCATCTTTTACAGTGATAAGCACTAGATGCCTAATATTTAGGGGACTGTGATTCTGGGGGTGATGCTAACTCAGCCAATATTGACAAGAATGGCCACAGTAACTATAGATTTCCTTGAGTGCCACGGCCAACAGTAAGAATGAACAATTTAGAGGACACTTTCTTTATTTTGCAGGCATGAAGCCATTCTGCATTTGTGTCCTGATCAGTATCACTAAGTGGGCCGGCGCAGCTGCCTGCTGGCCGCACTGTGTCGCCTACTGCTCGCCGCTGGATGCCGTCCTCATTGTAGCCGAGGACACACCATGACAGCCCCAGTAGTAGCAGCTGTGCCCTCGTCCCGAAGTGGAACGGCCCCTTCTTTAGGTATAAATAGGCTGAAAAATTGATCATTTACTACAGTCCCAATTTACACTGTTTATTTTCTAGTAGGTGACTATGGTTAAGCAGTAGATGCATGGATACTATGTCCATACTTTAAAAGAACAGGGACACCTTGTAAGGTGTATAGAGGGCACATTAGAAAACTTAGCATATAATACATATCATTATCCTTGGTATGTATTCAGGCTTCTGTCTCACACAACAGCTTTCTACCCCAAGAAAAGGGAACCTACGTCAGTCATGTTGGAATCTGTAATAGTAGCCTGTACCTCGAAATTTAATAACAGAGATTTCAAGCCAGATATGGGTCCCCAAATTGTGCTCAGTTTTACCCACCCTCATTTATGTCCAATTGACAACCTGTGCCAAAAACAGGTTACCTAAAAGGCAAGGAAACTCTTATAGTAGTTGTTGAACTGTAAAGAGGATTAATTGGAGGAACAGTAACAGCCTCTTTTTCTCAATTCCAAACTGATCAAGTCCCATTAAAATAAAAACATTTTAAAACCAAACAATCTCAACGCACACTCAATGGTGGCTTTGTCATGGCTAGGTACACAGATGGGTAAAATTAGCAACATATTACAAAGCATGAATGAATTTCACACCAAAGTAAGTACAGCAATGGAGACTTGACATAGAGCAGCTGGGGAAAATGCTAATAATGAAATACTAAAAGCAGACATAAAAGATGCTTCTCTAACTGTAGATTGTTGATGGCTGCAGTGAAGATTCATTCAAATGTGGAAAACTCCTAGAGGAGCTGTAATTGCTGGACGATCCTGGTCACCTGGGGTAACAGACAACCCAACCCAAGTCAAGTCGGTGCCACACATCCTAACGGCTGCGATTACTTGGGCAACTGTGAAATCAGAGTATTGGCACGTAAAGGGGGAAACATGACATTGGGATCCCACACTTTTGTGCTTCCCCAATATCAAAAGGGAGGGTGGAGCCCAAAGGCCATAGAGATCCCCCTTATGACAGAAAGAAAACAGGTTCCTAGGGATATGTTGGTGGAATGGAACCAAAATACCTTGATTATTACTGCCAGATCATTGGGTATACCTATGGCACAAGTATCTATGACAGACTATGGCCTCGTTGCCCCTCGACCAATTACGTGTACTATGGGAAACTGGACCATGAGAGTTTGCACCAAGCCCCATCTCACCCTAACCCATTAGAATCAAGAGAAAACTAAGGAACAGTATGATGCGATGTATAGAAATAGAACAGATAATGAATGTGACAACAGAAGGAAAAAGATATTCAAGGTCAATAAAAGATATAGGAGCTATTAAAATGACTGGAGGAATATTTCACATTAAACCTCCTACAATTAATCAAATAAATATTAATCATACATTAGAAAACTTAAACAAAGAACAGTTGCAAGATGTTCTAATAAAGTAACTAATAAATCATTTATTATTTATTAATGATAATGTAACAAAGTCAAAATAAGGTGGTAAGAATTGAAAAGAGAATAAAAGCGTTCATTCCCTTAAATAATGACAGCCTTGAACTCTGATGTTGCGGCAATCTAACGCAGGCTTGATAGTTTTATGCAAGCTTATATCCCCTGGAGCTTTTTAAAACTGGTATTTATTTGGAAATGTAATTGTCAAGGAAGTTAAGCTTAGTGGTTTAACAAGCTTAACTTGGTCATTTGTCGACTGGCTATGGTACCATGTTGAAGAGTTGTTATGCTTTTATTGATAATATTAGGAATATCAGTGCTTACAATGGTCATTGAGCTTTGATTTAAAAGGGTGCATCAGAGGAAAAATACTCCCCAAATAAGATGAAGTATTGTGATTAAGACTGTAAGTGATGTGGAATCACAGGGAGGGTTGATATTTTGGTGAACTTAGATTTGTACAGGGTATTAGGCCCTTAATATTAATTAGTATGTGAGTGACTTGAAATCACAGGACATATTGGTCCGATATGATTTCAAATACTTATTTATGACAAAGACAAAAAAAAGTTATTTTTTGAAGTGTTAAAAAACGGAAAGATGGAGAAGGCTCATGTGACAGGTATCTTACCAATGATGATGAGAAAATTCCTGGCTGACTACATTTCTGGAGAAGGTTAAGCTGTAATCGGGTTTAAGCATTAGGCCCTGTTGGGTGACTTAGCCCAGCAGAAGTGACCCCATATTGGGCCTGTGTCTTTCTTTTTAAGAGCTGTTGTTTTGATATCATGTCTTATGTTCTCACCCAGAAGAAGTCCCTAGCTCAGTTGCTGAGGGGCCCCACTGGGGGAATAGCAATAAAAACATTAAAAAACGCTAATGGCTAGAGGACATTTAGCCTACATTTGCCGAGTCTGGAGCACTAGCCGAGAGTCTGGTCCTGGCAGGGCCACACTCTGCTGGCGTGAAGGCTGCTCTGCAAGGCCGTGGGGCCGCCAGCTCCTGCGGTAAAGGCCACTCTCTCCCTGGCAGCGGGGAAGATCATCTGCCCATCAACACCAGGCCCAGACGACTGACCGACCATCCCCAGTCTAAGAAAGGTACCGGGGTGGGGTCCCCTGGCCCAGAAAACCCCGGAGGTGGGTGGGGGCAGGCCCAGCCTCCCCAGGCCTGCAGGGACCCCCCCGGCTGACCGCTGCCTGCCCACTGCACATGCGCTTCCGCGCCGCCCAGGTAGCCCGGAGCCCGTCCCAGGAGGTGTGGGGAAAAGCCTGCCCGGTACGCGGGCAGTTGGAGGCCTCGATCCGGGCCCTGAGCTGCGCGACTGCGCGGACAGCCCCCGAGGGCAGAGCTGCCGGGGGCGGGCTGGCCGGCCTGCCCTGGGGAACGGAGGCCCGGCTGGCGCCCCCCAGGCCCCTGGGAGCTGTGACAGCTGCGGAAGCCCCCGGCCCCGAGGCGGCCAGTGCAGGTGGGACTGGGTGCTGCCCAGGGGCTGCCGCCTGGAAAGACTGTCCGGGGCGGGCCCCCTCCGCCCCGCAGGCGCTGGGGTGACGGCGGCCCAGCCTGCGCCAGCTCGCCGAGGCCGCGTCCGGCGGGTGGTGGGACCGCGCTGCGCGGCCGGGGAAGCCGGAGGGCCCGAAGCCAGAGGGCGCGGAAGCCAGGGGCCCGGGAAGCTGCAGGACCTGGGGCCGGGCAGTGGTGGGAGGGGCGCCTGCGGTCAGCGGCATGCGCCTGATTCCAAGCCTGACCTACGCAAGTGTCCGTAATCCCGGACCCGCGGCCGGAGGCAGCTGGGCCGCATCACCGGAACGAGTCCAGGCTGGCCGGCTCCCAGGAACACACCGGATCCTCACTACTGTCAAGCCCAGGACCCCGTCAGGCAGCCAGTTCAAATGGGGACTGTCACCAGGACAAATCTGCCTCGTGAGAAAGTTTTCCGAGAGGGATTTTCCGGCCAGGAGGCTATGAGGAGGTCGGACGGCCTGAGCTCCGCACGCCTGCAGGGTCCGCAGCCTCCCCAGGCTGGCTGACAAGGTACGTCCTGCGCATGCACGGGCCACAAAGTCAGGGTGCCAGGGCCTGGGGCCGGGCAAGTATGGCCAGGTAGAGCTGCCTCATCAGAAAGAAAGATATTGGGTGGCAGGCTCCCTCTGCCCAGCAGGGGAATGCCCCGTTTCCACAGGCCCGGAGGACCCGTGCGGCCCAAGGCCAGCTGATGAGCACGTCTGTGCACGCTCACGCACAGCAGCACACCCGCACACCCGAGCCAGGGCTGGGAGGAGCCCGGGCATGGGATTGGCCTGTTGGGAATACAAGGCATCTGCCTAATTCCAAGCCTTAACCTATACCAACGGGCACATTCCCCCTGAAGGCAGAACTGGTGGAAACTGGACTCCCTTGTCAGGGCACGTCGGGCAGGCTGGCCAGGGTATCCTCAGGAAGGACCCCAGGGTACCTTGTTTGCTGGAGAAATCCGGGACCCCATGGGCAGCCAGTTTATAGCAGGTGCACCGGCAAGATTTTCGCGAGGGTGGGCCCCCTCCACTCTGGAGGCCATTCGGGGGTCAGGGACTAGCTTGACCTCCAGGGGCCTGCAGGGTTCAGGCCTCTCCAGTCGGCCCACTGGCTTGGACTAGGCATGTGTTTTCTAGCAGTCCAGGGTAGCCAGGACCTAGAACAAGGCAAGGGTCAGGAGAGGCCTGCTCACAGGATCCGGCTCTTGTTGGCAAGGCGCATGACTAATCGCAAGCCGGGACGTGCCTGGTGGGCGACGTTCTCTCTGATCGCAGAGCTCCAGCTTCCCCGGCAGCTGCCCCTGGGATGGGCAGGGAGGTCTGGTTGTGGCGTCATCTAGGACACACCTGGAGGTCCCGGATGTGGGAGAAGCCGGTCCAAATGGGGACTGCTGGTTGCCGACTGTAGCAACTGCCTCAAGGAGATTTTTAGGTGGGGTGGGTCCACACTGGGGACTATACTGGGATTGGGGCCAGGCCCCAACAGCCCCATATGCCCAGTACCTGCCAAATGGGTGGGTACTGTGCAAATAAATGGCTGCACAGTTCATGTTACCAGTGATCTGGCAGACACACCCGGGAGTCCTGGTTGCTGGAAAATCTGTGAGTCCTAAAAAAGCATCAAGTCAAATTGGACCTGACTGTTGTCCATTTAATATAAAATGGTGAAAAGCTCTGACATTTTCTGAACAAAAAACTAATCTTGAGGTGATGGTTGCAAGTTTTATTCCAAGAACATTCGGTAATCTTTATTTTGCAAAAGAATTACTTGCATAAGAGAAGTATTAAAGTGGTACTGATTATTTTTAGAACCTTTGAATACCTTTTTATAGAAATGCAGAAGACTATGTGTAATTAAAAAACTATATATAAACAGGAAACTATCCCAAGGATCTGGGTAGTTAAGTTACAGTTGTTCTAAAATACTCTCTCAGATCATTTTGTTGGTGTGGGAAACTATATAAGAGTATTAAGGGGCCTTGTAGATTAAAAGTTACGTAGTAACTACTACGTAACTAGTGGAGATAAGTCAGGAGGACAAGGGAGCTGTTGGGCAGGGAGGTGCGATGGCAGGAGAAAAAGGCAAGAGGCGGAAGGAGAAACAGGAACGAGTACTGGGTGTGAGTAAGAACAGAGCCGCTAAGTCCCCAGTTCCCAGGGTCGATTCCAGTGTGGCCCTGCAGAGCCTTCCAGCTGTTCTCTCCATGCGTCAGTCTATTTTTCTTTCTGCTGAAAGTGACTTTACTAAAATACCTCCATTTATGCCATTCCACTGCCCTCACTGCCTCCACCTTTAGTGCTGCCCTGTTGCCCTCATTATAAAGCCTAAACTTTGAGCCATTTTCTTCTGGCAGCTTAGTCTCAGCTCACCGTAGAGTGTGCTGGTTGGAATCCTTGAGCACAGGGACCCGGCTTTTATTGTCTTTATGTTCACAAAGGTGGTGGATTCAAACTGCAGTTCTCATGAGGATTTGGATTGCATGTCAAATCTGGTCATTATTGTTGCAAAGAAACCACAGGCCCCTTGGAGGCACTTACATCAAAGCCCATGTCAGTAACCCAAGACTTAATACCTAGTCTAGTTGTTGTTTTAACCATCCCCCCACCGCCCCCACTTCACCCCAAGAATGTTACCTTTAAGCAGCCAAACAGGCATTTCTTGCTCAACACTAGGAGGTAATCCCCTTCTTTGCCTTAGGAGGGCCACCGCGTCTAAAACAATGCAGTCATTGTTAATCGGTTTCTTTTTTTTCCCTGTTTTCTCTCGGCCTTTAAAAACCTTTCCTTTTCTGCCTCTCAGCAGGACTCAGCTGCCCAATTCATGAATGATTCAGTAAGGCCAATTTGATCTTTTAAATTACTCAGTTGAATTTTCATTTTTAAGACTACAATAAAATTGTCATTTGCAACAGTGGGGAATCCCTAGAGGCTAGATTTAAACTCCATAGGGCAGGGGCCAGTTTTGTCTTGTTTACTTCTATAATCCCATGCCTAGCAGATAGTAGGTACTTGAAAATATTTATTGAATGAATATGCTCCTTTGACTTTAATTTTATAGGAGGGATTAGGAAGGGAGAGGGGGGGAGTAGCCTGTCCTCACTGTGTGACCAGCTCTTGAGAATACTTACAGCTTGGTGACTTTCACTTTGGGCTTTGAAATGTTCTCTCTCTCTCTCTGTCAAGTGTGATAAGAAGATCTTCTCAATTGGCTGATGAAATCAGGGCCCCCCACTTCTTCACAGAGCCACATGTTTTCATTCAGATTGGTTTTACATTTGGTTTTAACAGACTTTATAGGGATATTACTAATTATATACCATGACAGTGAAAGGCAGCCACTAGTAATGGATTTTTGTTAGGCTTTTCCTTGATTTCTAAGTTATTTTACCTTATATATTAAGACGAAGTTTTTTAACATAAAGTTGTATGTAGATCTATTATTAGTCCAATGGCATTGTACTATTTAATTTATAGAAACTGTTTTCCTTTAATTCACTTTTATATGACTTTAAAATGGTAAATCCTGCCTTTTTTGCATATTTGCTTGATACATTATGGACAGTCATTAGTCTTAAACTTTCAAATCATTAGTTTTAGATGTTTCCTTTAAACAACCTGGTGTTGGATTTTGCATTTTAACCCAGTAAGAGAGCTATTTTTTTAATGTGGTAGTTTAAGGCATTTACCTTAATTGATATAATTTGTGTTTCTTGTGTCATCTTGTTGTGTTTTCTTTGCCTTGTGTTTTAAAGTTTTTCCTCATTTTGCTTTATATGCCATGGATTTTTGGGGAGAAGTCATAGATCTTCATTAGTAGCCACATTGACATGTTTCTAAAGTAATTTTAACCTGTATTTTTCAAGGTTTCTTAAAGAGTAAAATTAGACTATTAAATCCTTCTCTTTGTCATCTTGATGCTGTCACTCACCTCACTGTCAGTTGCATGTCAGGGAAAGCCAGGGATTGGCAAGCGGGGAAAGGACAGAAGCAGCAATGGAAACACTGCTTGGACAGCGTAATTTTGCTTTGCCTGTAGTTGTAAAAGCAGAACTGCTGGTATTCCGTTGTATTGAGAGAATGCTTGATATGTAGACCTTCACTTCATCAAAGTCCTGACCTGAGTGTGCCTGTGGGTTTATACTCTTATCAAAGACTGTTTTCAGGTTGTCTCTTTGGGGGAACATTTTTGCTTTGAAAGTGAAAAAAAGGAGCAATAGCTTAAAAATCAACCCTGATCCATTGAAGTTACCTGGAGACTTTCATTAGGTGGTGGAAACATTGCAGTTAGCAAAGAAATTATGAACTAGGCATTTTATGTGGCTATGAACACCTAAATATAGCTGCAGATATATAAAGGCCTGTTGAGGGAAAGAATCTTAAGTCTCAGATCATCCTCCCGCGATGGAATGTGGCCAGACATCAAAGACCCACAGATTTTATGAGCTCTCTGGGAAAATTTTAAAGGGAGTTTGTAGTTGGGCTACTAATACATCAACTTTTAATCATTTGATACCAGACTAATGAACTTTTCTTATCGCATTTACACTGACCATCTCTTAGATACTGCTTTTCTTTTTGATAGTTGTTATTGATTATGAAAGCACATATTACTAATAGATGTGAAGTAGACATTTATTGTATCTTTCAAAGCTCTTTCCAAGAGAAATGAGCAGACACAGACATCTGGGATGGTTTAGATGAGGCCAGCTAGGGGCTAGGCAATAAACTTGCAGAGTTCTATGAGAATGCAGGGTTCTTCAGTTTTGAATAATGATTATAAGAATAGAATCTCAAGCTTATTTGCCCTAGACTGTAAGCATCTTGAGTATGCAGGCCATGTCCTATTCATCTTTGTTACCCACATGGACAGTGCCTGGAATATTGTGGGCCCGCAATCGTGAATATTGAAAGAATTGATTGCTTTACAGTTAAACATCCTCTAGCATTTTCTGATCATCTTTTAAGGCCAGCTTTTCTAAAATTACAAAAACCTAGATATAAGGCCACTGAGATTTAACTGACAATTAATTACATTCAGTGGGTTTAAGCTCAGAGTTATTTTTAGCTTATTTTTGAAAGGGCCCGCAAGCCAATTATCTCCAATATTTATCTCTAGATTTAAGTCTTACCTTTGTAGTTAGCAAACTGTGCTATGGCAGGAATTTCTATCTGCTTGTGAAATTTGCTTTCTCTTAATTACTTCTTTGACAGCTACCCCTTGAGCTATTAAATATTATGTTACTCAGTCAAAACCATCAAGCAGTGTTTGCAAAGCTCATGGGATTATGGTTGCATACATTTATAGACAGAGGCCTTACCTCTGCGGGAGAGGAAATGACAAGGTACAAGATCAGGTTAACCTCACAGTGGAATGATGTAAAAAGCTGTCAGTAGTGAAAAGAAATTTTCTTGTCACATCACATAAACACTTAGATTGCTGCATCATTCCAAAGCAGTTTCAAAGCCCTTCCCCTGTGTCAGAGAGGATCCCATATTCACACATTATACGTGGCTGAGAGAGCATTTAAAAAAAATGTGTCCCAAATGTGACTTCATCCACTGGGGTCTCCCTACTGTCACCTGTTTAGTGATTGTAATCCCATTTCTTATAAAACTGCTTTGGGGCCTGGATTTTTGGGGCACCTGTTCTAAGTGCCCACCTACCTGCCTCATATAAAGTCAGCTGCTGCCTCCTGGCAGAACCAATCACTTGTCGTAATTCATACTGGGAAATTTAATAAAATATCCTGAAATTGCTGTGTTCATATAAAACATCACATGGTCCCTTTTTCCAGTTTTTAAGTTTCTTTTATCTGTGGTGCAGAAATAGCCAAATTCAAAAAGTCGTAAGTGTGAAGGACATGCTTCCAACATCATGTTCTCTGTGGGGCTCGCTCTGCATCCAGTAGAAAAGGACTGGAGCAGATGCGAAGGTGAGGCTGTCACTTCCTGCATTTGCAGCATCTTCAGGACATACAGGTCACTGGCTGAGGTGTGGGTCAACTGGGCGAGGGGTGGGTGTTCCCGGGATGCGCACCCACCTCTCTCCCACATCAGGTCCAGTCAGGAAGCCACCCTGGGAGCCGGGAGCAGAAGAGGGAACACAGTGGCATCTGGAGAACACAGAGGCAGCTGGGATGGCGCTCGAAGGAGACGGAGGAAGTGTGAGAACCATGTTAGTGAGGAGAGAAGCCATTCCTACGGGGCTGCGTGGCAGAGTTGTAGTAGAAAACGTTAGAGGGTGAAGAGGGAAAGATACAGCAGAAGAGGGCCACACTTCACCTTTGAGAAAATGAAAATA